AGTTCAGCACCACACACACATACACACTCAGAGGCGAACCCATTCATTCGCATCCACGCAGGAACCTCAGCGCAGCTCCGCTCTGCACGCACGGACGCGTTTGCGTGTTTCCTGCGCTCCTCTCTGAACTCAGCCCAGCGGCCCCGCTGTTACTGACGGCCGGTCAGTCCGTACTGTCCGTCGCTCTAGAGTTGGACAGTGGGTGTAGGGGAGAGGAGGGGAGGGGGTGTCTCAGATGTTTCTCCTTTGCAGGTCCTACCAGTCAGTTTCTTCATTGTTCGCCGTCTCCACCCCTCCGGCAAACTAATACGCTCACGTGTCCTAGGTCCTAGCGCCGGACGCGCCCACCCAACGAGCCTAAAATGCCTCCAGGGGCTTCTTTAACTTTTGATTCATGCTTTGAACGAGCAGGCTTCTCCGCTCTTGCGTAATTCAACAGCTTATGGCCCCAATTGCGTGTACTTCACACGGTGACTTTGCCAACTGTCCTTATTAGGTAACAGCGAGGCAAGACTTTCGATTAATTCACTGCTCGCCCTTTACTGTACATGTTAATCAACAGGCCTCCCGCCACACTTGTTTGCCAACCACAACAGATTGGACTGAGGAAAACGCCGTGATGTAATGGGAATGACTTTAATGCATCATCAGGGAAGAGCAGACATAGCTGGGTTTGTTTGGAGAATGCAATGCTTTCACACGTTTATGATTTTTTAGTGACATCCACTATTGATCCATGGGGTTTAATAAGATGTTGGTCCACCTTTGGCTTTCCACAAGGTTTAGGAGTGTGTTTATCGGAACTTTTGACCACTCTTCCACAAATGCATTTGTGAGGTCAGGCACTGATCTTGGATGCGAAGGCCTGCCTCACAGTCTCCACTCCGATTCATCCCAAAGGTGTTCTCTCAGGTTTAGGTCAAGACTCTCAAGTCAAGTTCTTCCAAACCAAATTAGCTCATCCATGTCTTTGTGGACCTTGCTTTGGGCACTGGTGCGTAGTCATGTTGGAACATGAAGGGGCCATCGGCAAACTGTTCCCGCAAAGTTGGGAGCTTGAAATTGTCCAAAAGTTCTTGATATGCGGAGGCATTAAGAGTTCCTTTCACTGGAATGAAGGGGCCGAGCCCAACCTCTAAAAAACAACCCGACACCAAACTTTACACATGCCACAATGCAGTCAGAAAACTGCCATTCTATTGGCAACTGCCAAACCTAGACTCATCCATCGGATTGGCAGACAGGAAAGTGTTATTCATCACTCCATAGAACATATCGTCACCGCTCCAGAGTCCAGTGGTCATGTACTTTGCCACACTTCAACCAATACTTTGCATTGGTGATGTAAGGTTTTCATGCAGCTGCTTGGCCATGGAAACATGTTCCATGAAGCTCTCTATGTGCTGTTCTTAATCTAATCTGAAGGCCACATGAAGTTTGGAGGTCTGTAGCCAAAGACTGCAGAAAGTTGTTGACTTTTGGGCATTATGTCCCTCAGCACACCGTGGCTGAGTTACTGTCATTCCCAATCACTTCCACTTGAGTATATCCTTCTCTCATCCTCCCCCTCTTCTGATGAAGAACAGGACACTGATACCCAGCGTGTCAGTAAAGGTGAGTATGGTGAGTATATCCTTCTCTCATCCTCCCCCTCTCCTCACGAAGCTTCTCCTTCAACCTCAGTTCTCACCTCCTCAGCAAAGAGAAGCAGAGAAGACATCTGCACTGAAGAGGTAAGTGCAAAGAGGTGCAAGGTAAGTGATGACACGTTCTGTGGCCCTTCAACATCATCAGGTTCTTTTGGTCTCAGACGCCTCTGGGACAGGCCTTTTAACCTTTCACTTTATGACAGTGACCCTGACTAGGTGATGTTAGAACTTGTTCTTAAACTTTAAACGTTTAAGTTGGCCTTTGCGTCTTGCAGTGTTTGCAAGACACTTTCTTGCTTTGAGGACAGTTTCTTGTAAATATCCTTTACTTTTTAATTAACTTTGTAATGTTTAAGTTAATCCTTTGTGTCTTGTGATGTTTGTAACACAGCTAACTAAGAATATCTGACTTTTAAAGAATATTAACTAACACATGTGAAATGTATTGTTTTTTTTCTTAATATGTGACATTGCCTGTGTGACTGTAAGGTAGTGTTTTAGGTGTTGTTACTTCTATTTTTGTTAATATCACAGGTAACTGTTTAAATGACTTACATATTTTTTCTCACGCTCTAGCTCACCATGCAGGACAAAGGTAAGTCCATACTTAATGTCAACACAAATAAGTAGAAATGGTTTAAAAATGATGTCGTGAACTGACTGTAGTCTCTTGTTTTTACATAAGATATAGCCTGTGGCTAAGGGATCACAGGTAAGGTGAAAACACACAACAGAAGAAAAGTAAATTGAACAAATCAGTGATCTGTGAATTCATCCTTTTCTCTTTGTCTTTTTGTCTTCAGGTGCTTTACGCTTGTCCTCTCCCAGCATTCCAGACGGCGCTAACACAGAGAGATGCTCCACCCAGAAGACAGCCTTACCCCAACCCGATGAGAAGGATGGATGACCAAGTGACAAACTGGAGAGTGGTGCTGTGTTAAGTTATCACCTCATATTGGCTACAAACTGTCTTGAAGACTAAATCCTTCCAATAGCTGGTATAAATCATCGTCCTACAGTACTGTAGGTCTAAGTTTATTTATAGTTATTGTGTATATATGTTGAGTTTAAAATAGCATTTTAACAACATGCTGCAGCTACCTACTATGGAAATGCTGTTTTGTGTTAAAATTAAGTCTTTCTTGTGTTATTGCTTTGCAGGGCAGCTGAGAGTGGACAGAGTCTGACTGGCCACAGCACCACCCCTCTTCACCCAGGGTGAGGAGGGTCCTGACTCCGCCTGCACAGAGGGAGTTGTGAGCATGCACTTCTGTGTCGGTGGGTTTAGGAGCCTCCTCACACACACGCGGATAAAGACTGTCACTGGAAGATGTCTCCATTGCATCAGCAGGACAGGACGTAAGCATTTGTATAATGTTACAGTTTGTGATGTTTTATACACGTTTTTATTGCTTCATTTCAAACTAGGAGATATAAAATAAACCAGTTTTCATAATAGTTTCTGTCTCTTTAGTTGTTTTCTTAAAGCGATCCATTCTTTCACAAATGTTTGTAGAAGCAGTCTGCAAGTCTAGGTGTTTGGTTTTATACATCCTCTTGTTTTTATACGTGGAAGTGATTGGACTGCTAATTTATATCAGACCAGCAAACTGTGCTCCTTATACTTTTCCTTATTTTCCCTTCTCACCCAGCATCGAAATAACAAAGAGAGGCATGGTATACTTAGATTACATATTGACAGTGAAAAATAAGCTGTTATGGCAGCTAAGGTTTTAGGAAAAAGAAGAATGACTCGTATAAAAAGGGGCAGCACAGGGGAATGTGATCTTTAGTTTCCTGAAAGTGAAAAAATCTGACCCATGTTGTTTTAATCCTTGTTGGGGAAGTGCTGGATATTGAATAGCTGCATCTTCAGCAGCTCTCGGAGGCATTCAGGTGTCTCACAGTGCGCTGCACCATTAGGCCAACAGGCAGCGAGGCGAAGACTTTCCTCGGGGTTATCGTGGGAACGGAGCTGTCATAAATCACCGTGAAGGTCAAGAACTGTGCGCCGACAGCAGAGAGCATGAAGGGTCAAATACACTGAGGACACAAACACACACACCTCCAAGCTGTGAACAACTAGGGCTGCTACTCCTCTCCTCCCCTCCTCACTCCTTTTTTTTTTCAGGCACAAAACTCACGTCCCAGTTTTCACTTTTTTGTGTGTCACCTAAAGTTTTCCGCCTCTTGAAAGATGATGGCCTTGTTTTTTTTTTTCCATGTTCTCAAATTCATCTTCATGTAGTGTTTACTGCATTACTTTGTATCCTAGCTTCACTTCGAACCGCAGTGTCCTAAGAGGAATTTACACAAGGCCTCAAGAACCAGAAAAGCCTTCTTCCACCCACAGTCCAAAGACAGTTGGTTAGGTTAACTGGTGATTCTAAACTGATCATAGGTGTGGCCGCAAATGGTTTTTTTTTTGCCTCTCTCTGTCTCTCTGTCCAGGATGTACTCTCTCACCCAACAGCTAGAATAGGCTCCAGCCCCCCGTGACCCATATTGGGTAATTGGATCAGCCAAGAAGAAGGAAAAGTACAAAAGCAGAAAGTTCCCTCAGAGATGGGACAAACCTTTCTGTTTCCACATGAATATGAAGACTAGTTAGCGACCTTAACAACCCTTTCCATCAACTAAATATCTGGGAACAGTTGCAACATTTGCTTTGAGTGGTAAAAAAGTATTTTAAAGAAGAAGATTTTCTTATTTAATGTCATACCCTATTAAAATGTTAGATGCTCATATATAAAAAATGGACGTTTTAAATAATGACATCAGCATGTCTTCTTAGGCAAAAGCACAGGTTTTAGACTCCTGCAAACATGTAATTTCAGATCTTTTTTTTCTACTTTTGGTCCTGTGTGATGTCAAAGAAGTACAGCTGTTTGTGAGGAGCAGCCAATCAGAAGAAAGCTGGCTTAAAGGGAGTGTGGCCTTAAAATAAGAGAAACCAAAGTGAGTAGCTGAAGACAGAAGACAAACTACTTTTTGGCTTCGTGTAGGTTAAAAGGGGATTATTTTGAACTGTGGAAAACCAAAACGTGTGGAAACTTGACCTTTAAATAAATACTGGAGAAAAGTACCTTACTGAATTGAAACTTAGGCTGGTGGATTCTTGCTGTCTACTGACTCTTATTCCTTATATTCCCACTTTATGCCATTTCCCCAGTCTTTTATTTTGTCATTAGAAAGTACTATTTTATTTTTAAGAGAAATAAAAGCGATCAATGTTGACTATTGATGCGTTCACAGACATTAAGAAAATTTTAATGTCATAATCAAAGTGACACAAACCAGACTGTCCAAGTTTCAAGCCGTTTCCTTGTCTCAGAAACTACATTTCCCACATTGCAATGGGCCCGTCACAGGGCGATGACGCAAAATTTACGCGCGTGTAACCTTGTCTTCCTACTCAGTAGTGTTTCTAAATCAGGCGTGGATACGTTAGTTCGTTTTTGATTGTTTTTTTTATTCCGAAGTTATGAGCAGATATATTTTACCCGTGTCTGTCTTTGGAACAGTGTTTGGATGCGCTGTTTTACTGAAGTGAGTAACTAATCATCATCATGAGGACACTGCGATGTTTCTGGGTGCTTAATTCACACTGGAAATGTGTCATTTGCTGCTCAAGTGCATTCAATTCAGTGACAGAGAGTCGTCATACTGGGTATTGTCACGTTATTTAGTAGTTTTTGGAGTAACTGAAAGGGAAACACTTCACTCTTACACAACCCCACAAGGTACAGCCTTCTTGGCTAAATGGTATAGCTGAATAGAGCCGATTTTACAGATTCAAAAGGTGTTAATGAAATTCTGTTCGCACATTAAAGAGCGTGAAGGCAGGGTGATTTTTGATGCTCTGCCTTACTTAGTTAGAACAAAAACAAGAACATTTTGGGTAGTGCTGTGCAATACTTTTAACCTATAAAGGAAGCTTATTATAAGCAATTTATTTATCCAACACAATTCATCGGGCTATATACTGAACTTAGAGCGGGCAATACAATATCAAGTCGATACCGGATCAGGTTTTTTTCTGGTAATGTGATGAAACACAAATAAAACCGGCAGAATGAACATTTCAGACACTGTGTTAATGCAGGCTCCCTTCTCAGACTGACACACTGTAAAGCCTCTCTGATTTCATTTCATTAACCTAACCCATGCATGTGTTTGGACTGTGGGAGGAAGCCGGAGAGCTTGCAAACTCCCCATTTGAACCCAGGACCTTCTCACTGTGAGGAACGTCCTGTTAAATAAGTACAAAGCACTTTACAGGCAATAATCCTGTGTGGTGGCATGTTCTCCCTGGGTACCCTGCCCTCCCACGACCCTGACTTGCCCAGTGGTTAAGAAAATCGATGGCTGGATAGAAAAACAACAGTAATGCTGAGTTATAAAAGCAGCTATGTAGATTAGCTGCTGCAGGCCAATTAAGCTGTGAACTGAGATCTGAGGGTGGTTATGTAATGTTCACAGGTGTGACGACCTCTGGTTGTTTGCTCGAGTGAAATAAATCTTGCCGCTCTTCTCATATCTTACTTTCTGCATGCCCTCGCCTCCTCTCTTTGTGTTTTAGGCTTACGATGTTGATTTATTCGCCTGAACTGAAGAAAAACCCACTTTAGGTCAAGTCTTGTTGTTTTTAAACGTGGCGTATCAATAAAATTGACTTGACTTAACCTCCCACCTGAGATGCAAGCAGAGCAGGCGAGAAAGGAGTCAGGGCCTTTAACAAACTTAGATGTTGCTTCAGAGCTGTCATTCTAAAGCAGTCCCAGCATAATGTGAGATGCACCTGAATCATCTGCTCACTGTTTTGCTGATGCTGCCAGATGAGTTGGCAGAAAGTTTTGACACTCAGTGATCTGTGTGTCATGCTCACGGCTTCTTTTTGCTCCTTCTCGAGGTACATTTAAAGAACTGAGACATCCTTCAGGAGGGTGAGTGGCAGTCTCCAGTGTTTGAATAAGATACCAATAAATCTTTGTTTAATTATTTTCATAGAGACCGTATGACTGGAGGCCGGTGTCCTAGTAAGGCTACCATTAATGAAAAGACTGTGGTTATAACAGGAGCTAACACAGGCATTGGAAAAGAGACTGCCCGAGAACTGGCAAGAAGAGGTATGGAGAACCTGATTCCCCTCTGATTTGGTGCAAAAAGGTGCAGCTACTTTTCTCTCACTGACACACCTTGCCTTTTAAAAAAAAAAAAAAAAAAAAATTCTCAACATCATCAGGTGGTCGGATTATTATGGGATGTCGCGATACGGAGAAGTGCGAAGCAGCTGCAAAGGAAATTCGGGGGAAAACCCTGAATCCTCACGTTTATGCACGTCGCCTCGACCTGGCCTCCATGAAGTCAATCCGAGAGTTTGCAGAGAGGATCAAACAAGGTGATGAACCCAGAACAGTTCAGTTTCAGGTACGGGAGTAAAGCCTGCTTCTGTAACACTGTTTCTACTGTAGAGGAGCCGCATGTGGACATACTGATAAACAATGCTGGGGTCATGAGGTGTCCACAGTGGAAGACAGAGGACGGCTTTGACATGCAGTTTGGAGTGAATCACTTAGGTACACACTAACCTCTAAAAATCACAAGCTAGACTGACTATGCATTCCAGTGAAATTTCCCTTCGTCCGTCACGAGCTGATTCTGACTTTGTCTCCCACCAGGCCACTTCTTACTGACGAATCTTCTGCTGGATAAGTTGAAAGAGTCCGCCCCCAGCAGAGTGATCAACCTGGCCTCTCTCGCCCACATTGTTGGAAAGCTTGACTTTGAGGACTTGAACTGGGAGAAAAAGAAGTTTGATACCAAGCAGGCGTACTGTCAGAGCAAGCTTGCCAATGTTCTGTTCACCAGAGAGCTCGCCAAGCGATTACAAGGCAAGTCTACTGGCTGCTGTATATGTGGGCATGTGTGGGAGAGAGTACGGCCTGTGTTCTTGTTTGTAATTGGCCAGTGGACACGTATATGTGCGGTATGTATTTTTAAACAATGCTGTGTGCAACAGGCACAGGAGTCACAGTGAATGCGGTGCACCCGGGAGTTGTTGCCACGGAGCTCGGGAGGCACACTGGCCTTCACCAATCACAGTTCTCGAGCTCTCTGCTCAGTGAGTATCCCGTTTCCTTACTGGATCCCGAATCAATAAAAGCTCACCACACTTAGCCCAGTCTGTGTAGACGCTAACACATCGGGAGAGGAACTGTTCTTTTTTTCTTATTAATTGGGGGGGAAATTTAAAATAACGTAACACACATCTAAAATAAGTTCTATTTAATTTTAGTTGCATAGCTCAACACTGTGACAAATGAATTTTAACTGTAACTCATGTTACTGCTCAAAGTCATGTAGTTTTTAATAGCACAATTACAGACAGTGTAAAACATGGTTGTAGCTTCTGGGTTGGAAAAATAAAGCTGATGCAGAAAGCTGATGCAATCTGTCTGAACACCACCAGATGGCGATAGATGTAGTTGCAAAAAGACATCTGAGGGAAATCTGCTTTCTGTCTTCACCTATGTAAATGCTTTCCTGCTAAATTCATGGGTTTAATTATACTGAATACAAACTTAAATCTATTTTGTAAACGTTGGTCATGCCATGTTTCAAAAAGTAGGATTATCTGTGGTATTTTCCACTCGCTTATTGACTAACGACATATTCATCATAAGCTGTTACCCAAAATGGGACTTTTGGATGTCACAGTAGCTACGTTCATCCTTTATACTGTTTAAAACTAAAATGCAGGTGCTGCACATTTATTTCTCTGGTTCTCGACTTACAGTGCTGTGCAAAAGTCTTGAGCCACTTCCCATTTCTTTATATTTTGCTTTCAATGAGCCAGACTTGCTCTTTTATTATGGTGGTCTTGAGAAATACTTCCCCAGGATTTCTAAAAGACTTCTTTGAACACAGAAAAGTGCCATCAGATTTCAATCCACCACGCAATACCATCTGGAAAACATCTGAGTGGTAATGGCTTTGTTTTTCAGCACAACAATGATCCTGAACACACTGCCAATGCAGTAAAAGCATAGCTGGATAGAAAAACACACAGGGGAACACAATCGGTCATGGATTGGCCTCAGCAGAGCCCGGACCTCGACGTTATTGAGCTAGTGTGGGATCATCTTGACAGAGAACAGAACAAAAGCAGCCAACATCCAAGAAAATTATGTTTGCAGGTGTTTCAATAAGTCGCTGCACATATTTCACATTTTCCAGCAAAATATAAAGAAGTGAAGGCTTGCTCAAGACTTTTTCACAGTACTGTAAAATAATCTAAAATATTAATCAGCAAAGAAATGACATCCCAGTTCTATTAAAGCCTCTTAAATCAAACACCAGCAGTGTGGCAATGTTGTTCACTTACACTGTATATAAAACACTGATGCAGCCCCCTCCCTGCCTCTAACCTATATTCTTTCTAAGTGTATAGTGTTACCCTGGCAACTCCAACACAGGAGATGAGGATTTCAACGACAACTTCCTTCTATATTTTTTAAAGCTGTGAATGTACTTTACTGCTAAGGGAATGCAAATTCCAGGGTTTAGACTTAATAATTAAAGCCCTTATCTGTGGATAAGGGTTAGGCTATAATACTAATACTTCAAAAATAAATAAATAAAAATAAAAACACCTTAAAACCTAAGAAAAAGGGCCTGCAAGTTCCCAGTTGCAAGTTGCATCTAATAGAGGATGATGTTGTAGGAGGATAAAGCGGCGTGTGTTTAAAGCTAATGTTACTCAGTCAGATCCACCTCCTGCTTTTTTACATGTGGTTTGAATCCCCTTGGCTACATAAACATTTTCTACTGTGGAAAGCAAAGTTTTTGGTGTTGAATTAAAATGAACCTTTCCTCCCAGGTCCCTTTTTCTCATTGTTGGTGAAAAGCCCAGAGCACGGGGCCCAGCCCAGCGTCTACCTGGCCGTGTCTGAGGAGCTGGAGGGGGTGACGGGGCGGTACTATGATGTTATGACCGAAAAGGAACCAGCGCCCCAGGCCCTGGACGATGAGGCAGCTTGTAGGCTGTGGGAAGTCAGCAGCAGGCTGGTGGGTCTGGAGCACGAAGGACAGCCCAGCGTGTCAAACCCATCAGCGGAAGGCCAGAACAAAGCTGCACAGACAAACCCAGCGCAGACACTCGGGCAGAATGTAGGAGCAGCTGTCAGCACTGTAGGCCTATAGGTCCTCTGAGCCAGCAGGAAATAATGGACCTTTATCACTTGAGCTGTGCCAGACACAGGAACAATTCTCTGTCTCAGACTTTGAGTCTGAGTGTCTCTATAATTGCAGTCTTTTGTATGTTCATTTATGTTCCTGCCTCAGGATGTTCTCTCTTTTAAAGAGAATCTGTAACTTTGAAACACACTTATGGATTCAAAGTTACATCCAGTTTGTATTTCTGACTTTTCTCTGCTTGTTCTAGTGATAAAATGCAAGAAGTTTTAAAATAAAGTGCTACCATGTCATTATGAGCAAAAAAGTGAAAGAGGGTTTTCAACATACTCCTAAAAGCCTACCATAAAACAAACATAATGTTGTTTTGTTTTTTATGTCAAAATCACACCAACGTCCTGCTTTCTGTGGAGTTGAAACCTTGCACATTAAAATACACACCAGCAGAGGCTGTGTATGGTATGCTTTCTTTCACAAAGAGAGCACAAAATCAAATCTCCTTTGGTTGAATCATGTCTGTAATCGGAGAAGAAAGCATTGTTATGCAGTCTTACTGGAGGACTGGAGCTTTGAAACTTTTTTTGTGAATTCCGTCATGAAAAGTTGAAATAAAGCGCCACCTGCCTGCTTAAGATTAAAATACATGTGCTGAAAACCACATGAAACCCTATTTAAGAGTTTGTGTTTTTTTTTTTTTATTCATACATGCAGATTTGGCAATAATTTCTTCAGCTGTACAGCGGTGTTAATTATTTTTCCTTCAAATTAATTTGGCTTAGAAAGCATTTTTTTGTGCACTGAAACTATATATTAAAACAACTTTACAAACGTAACTGACGAATTTACACACTAACCTTAAATTGTTCCAATTTATTATTGGAAGTATTAGAAAATATCTAAAAATACAAAGTATGACACTAAAGTTAAATGCAGGATCGCTTATGTTATTGCACACTCTTATGAGTTCTGCTTCATCGTCCTCACAAAAACAAATCAAGTTACCAAAGAACTCACAGTGCAGGTCTGATCCTCTCAGACATGCAGCCTGAGTGCAAAGAAAAACATCCATCCCTTAAGTATTTAGAGGATCCATTGCACGGGGTCCTCTCCAACAGTGTTTTCCAAAGTAAAGATCAATAGGGGGTGAGGGAGGAGGACACTTCACTAATGCACACTGATCAGCATCAGCCGTGAAACCGTAAACCCTCAATCGTTTAATTCGGGGTTGGTTTACAGATGGAGACCCTCGCTGGTGCCATCCTAGAAGCTGATGGCGATTGTAGACGAGCAGCAGAATAATAACAGGGTTTTCCTTTGCTGGGGAGGAGACTGCCTCCAGAGGATGGTGCCGTCTGAATCAAACCAGCTTTGACCTCTAAATAAATAAATAAATA